GACAAAACTGCATAGAATGCTTATATTTGAGAAATTGAAAGCATGGAACAAAGCATAAGCGGACAGACATAATAATCCCCCCAAGAAAATAAAACTCAGATGAGACAAAAACAGAACAGCCAAAGATACATAGAGGCACACCAGGTAAGTAGGCTACCAAAAACACAAAAACACAACGGGTCAACCATGACGAATGTAAGGGAGCCCGAATTTATCAAGCATGATCATGCCTTTAAGAGGAGAGGGAAGGTTAATAATAGGTAATTCTTGATAATACTCAATACCAGAGCCCAAGTTAGCCAACTAATCCGCACAAGCATTGCCTTCCCGGTAAATATAGGATATGGTAAAATTAAAACTAGAAAGTAACAGTTTAATTCTCCGGATAATGTAAAATTCGTTAGGATAAACAACATTAGTAGCAGATATAGCTTGAATAGCAAGTTTAGAATCAACTTCAATATGCACATTTTGAATACCCAATTCCAAACATATCTTTAATCCTTGGGATATACCCAAAAGCTCAGCAGTTAACACAGATTTAGTAGACAAAGGCCCAGCAAAAGTAGCAATAGGATTACCAATAGAATTACGGATAATACCACCCATACCAGAAGCAGTCTTCCCAACAGAACCATCTGTATTTAATTTAATGTAAGGAGTAACAGGTTTAAGCCAATTCATAATACGAGCCACCTTAGTAACATTAGCAACATTGATATTAATACCAAAATATCTAGCCAACCGATTACAACTCTTAAAATTTTTTTGAGAAAGGAGATTAACAGCAATTAAATGCAACACCTTAATCCTCACATTGTTAATGATCTGATTGGCCCAAATTTTAATATTATTGTGTTTAGAATCATTCATAGCTTTCCAAATATATGAAATAACCAAAATGAGAATTAAATAGAAAATATGCCCTTTACCTTTAGAAAACGAGATACCGAGAATTTCCTGCAAACTGCAATGCTCACTAAAGTTAACTAAATTAGCTAGGTTGAAAAAATGGCACCAAAACCTTTTAGTAATCATACTATTAACAAAAACATGTCAAACAACTCAATGTTGAAGCAACATTGACATTTAGAAGCAAAATAAAAATCTTTCTTATAGAGATTGATATCCACGGGAAAATACTCTTTAGGCACCTCCAAGTGAGCAAAGAGTAAGATAAAGGAATTGTGTTATGCCACAGGGAGCCAAATATGTGAGAGGCATCGCCTTTAATATGAATATCCTCCCAACTTTTTTAATACTAAATTTACCAGTGGCCGAAAGATTAAAGAATATGTTATCTT